TGCTGAATTTTGGGAATTAACGATTCGATCAGAGCATGATCTGCCTGCTTGGCTCTGATTACTACATTAGTCTCTATTAGCTATGGAAGTATACGTGGTTTTATAAATGACTGTTCTTTAATAGAATTTCAATAAAAATATATTAATCACCTGAAAGAGTCCTTGAGTGATCAATAGCTTTAAAATTTCACTGTATTTTCCTTGTTCTTTTGATATTTGACCTAACCTTTTCCTAGCATCATCCAGCACATTTCTAACGTGATCCTCGCGAACTTTCAATACTTTTAAGCGAGCTTGGTTCAGCATATTAGACGATTGACTAGATAAAAGAAAATATTAATCGACTACAGTACTATTACCCATAATATAACGATAGCTCAATTTTCAATCCATCGCTTACATTTTCTTCTGCAATTCAACTTGCTTCTCCTTTTTCTCATAATATTCCATAATCTTAAGACGCTGTTGTTGTACTAGTCTTCCTTTTTCAATATTGAACTCCTCCTCCGCCTTGGCATCTATTTCTTCGGCTTTTTCATTGGCTTCTTGTTCAATGAAAGCCATCATATGCTTGATCTAAAAATATAATACATAATAATCAATAAAAGAATACGAAAAATATCCATTTTATTAGTTATATTTTATACAATCTATGGCTATTTTACCTATTAGCGAAATTTATCATTGGCTAAATGCTTTTATTTCAAATTTTAAGCTCAGCATTTGTATTAGCATTTCTCACTCAAATTTAATGAATATATGCTTTCGTATAACGAAACACAGAAAATAATAGAGACGAGAGTTTTTACTGACACAAATATGTCGCAAAACATTCTCTACCATCTTTGCACATTTGATTTGACAATGTCGATGAAAATTCTTATTATTAAACCTATTCGTCCGAGTGGAATTATTCATCGAGGAAAGAATAAACATAAAAACATTTGATCGATACGAATTTTATGCTCTGTGCTGCTACATCGATAAAACAATTTATAATTATATGAAATCGACGTTTCTCAGCATTATTGGTCACACTGTTTGCACGCAAATATTTTTTATTATTTCATCATTTTTGAAAAAAAAAAAAACACAAAAAAAAAAAAAAAGAGAAGAAAAAAATTTACAAAATAAAAAGCTCGGAATATGAGCTTCTAACTTTGAAGCATGAAATTATCATATCGCACCATGAAATATTCAATATTTGCAAATCTCCTCGAAACTAATTCAAAGTCCCATAAGTCAAATGCTTGGGACCACTCCCGCCCCACACACGGACAGACAGTGGGCTCAGCAAATTTTTACTAATTTAAATCGCGTGAGAAGAATCTTCGACCTACGACACGCAGTAAGTGGCTCGATGAAAAAACGGGCGACAGAGAGTCGAGTGACCTTGTAATCGACAAACATCAAAAAGCGAGCACTTAAATACATAAAATCGATCTTTCGACAAACCTGCTTGTGAACATCAGCATCGCTGAGAGCCATTTTGCTGCTTTATTCGGTTGGCAAGCGAGTGACAAAATAAACGACGAATTTTAAAGATCCAACCGCAGTCCGTAATAATGGTCTTGGAGCTGCCTCGTCTCCTCTTCCTCACGCTGCAAAAAAGATCGCTGGGTAATAATAATAAAGCTACGCCAAGGAATCGATCGAGCCAAATCGGTGCACGTCAACGCCCACCATCCGAAACTATCGAATCAAAGGCTGGAAAGAGCGACGCAGGATCGTCCCGTGAGCTCCTGCTATTGTTACGGTTCTCAATTATAAATGTGATGCACAACGGGAGGATTGTGCGCATGGGCCGAGGTCCATGGCTCCTCTCGCTCTTAACCGCGCCCTCGCCGCTCGCTCCGTCCTCGTCGATCTGCTGGCGAAGCCGCGGGTGGCTCGCTCACATGACGATCATATGACCGAACGACGACGACGAGGCAGCGGACTCTCGCGTATTCTCCTCGCACTAGTTTTTAGTTTTTTTTTTTTTTTTTTTTTTTTTTTTTTTTTTTCCGACTGGCGCTGACGAGCGATTACGTCGCCCGCCGAAATCATCCGCATGGACTTGTAACCAGCTGGCAATTTCGTTTACATCATGATTTCATCATCCGTGCCCACGGGCTTCGCTCTTATTATTAAGAATAATGGGCTTGCCGTTGCGTCTATACGCGAACAACTATTGTTAAACGATATGGCAATGGTGAATAATGAATGAACGAAAAGAAAGGGACGGCTGGCTAAATATAACGATAAAGATGTTTACTATATTACGCGCAATGATTTGTCTCTGTTTAGCGATTAGGTGGCTATGGGACTGAAAGGGACTTGCTCTTGTTTACTGCTGTTGGGAGCGATTAAGCGAACGTAAGCCGTTCGTTATAATGCATTGGATTGAAATCACGAATTTTCGTGATTTGGATCTGTCATGGACTTTACTCGGCCCTGTAATGATATTCGTTATTGTATTCGCTTGGTCGAGACTTTCGCGTGCAAAAGCTTTTTATTGCCGAAAACGTTGGCGTGGCGAGGCGAGGCGGGACATTTCGAATGGCAGCGCGTACGTAGCGCCCTCTTGTAGTTTACAAAAATAAAATTCGATTAAATTGTGCGGTAATGGGGTGAAGAGAGATTGGACGATGTGCGGTGTTATGTTTGTAGTGTCTATTGTGTGTTTACATTATGGACGTTTGAATAGTAGGATAAGGAGGCTGGATTGTTAGTTTGCTGGATCGAAAGATGTATTCCGTGAGATTAGTTAGTGCCGACAGTTACCAAGCTGCACCGATTCCCGATGTCGATCCGACCTTCTCGCAATTTCGAGGTAGCGATATCAAGCAAGTACCTGTGGTGCGAATTTTCGGAATCACTCATGCCGGTAAATATTGGTATAGAGTGAAAGAAAATGTTGTTGATTCGAGGAGCATTTAGCCTAAAGCTTGTGATCGTTGTGTTTTACAGGTGAGAAGGTATGTTTGCACGTACATGGTGTCTTTCCTTATATGTATGTGCCTTATTCCGGGCACGTTAATGCGGATATGTTGGTTTACCGGCTCGCTGCATCATTGGATGCCAATATTAATGTTTCCTTGGGTTCGTCGAATTCCAAAAGACAACACGTTTACAAAATTCAACAAGTTTCCGGCATGTAGGCTAAGTTATTTAATAAAATATCTGTACAGAGCTTTATAAGAAATAAGCTTTACAAGAACTTTGATTATTAATGTTACAGACCGTTTTACGGGTACCATAAAAAAGCTCATCATTTCTTGAAGATATACTTTTATAATCCTGCCATGATGAAGAGAGCTATTGATTTATTGCAGGTTCATTATAAACTAAAGACAGAGAGCAGATGAGAAATATTATAAGAATCTTTGATTGATATTGTATTTAATGTTTCAGAACGGACGTGTTCTTGGACAAATCTTTCAACCTCACGAGGCTCACATATCATTTATATTACAATTTATGATAGACTATAATATATATGGCATGAGTATGATCGATTTGAGATACGTTAAGCACCGTCATTCAGCCATAACGGATCAAAATTTAAGTAAACTGTCGGACAACTTAGACGAAACACTTGACTTTGATGTAGAAAAGAAGGAATACATGCCACACTCCATTGCCAAGCAAAGCGTCTGTAAATTAGAAATGGATGCCTGGGCTTCCGATATTCTTAATCGCGATGTTATAGACAAAGGCATAGATTTGAATCCAGGTATCGCTGCAATTTGGGAGGAAGAGAAAGCTAGAAGAGTTCAGTTTGATTTAGGAGGAGATTCGCAATTAACGTACCCAAAAAGTCCAGAAAGATCTCAAGTATCTTCTCTCTTGAAGAATAACGACAGGTATCATGAAAAACGATTAGCTCAGCGCTTATCCGCAATCGATTCGCAGGTATGCATATTATATATTCATGAAATGACATTGGAAAAATTGTTGACCTGTCAAAAGAGGTGTGTGTGACAGTTTTGTGCCGTGTGTAACAATTCTGTGCCTTAAAGTTATTATAATTGTACGTACCGTTTGAATAATTCAAATTTATAATTTTTCTTTTAGATGGACGATGCGTCATCGTCACCTGGTTCAGAAAACTCATCTTATCCTATTCCTGTATCGAACGATAGTAAGTTATTAAATGCATCTCAATTGGAGGTTCACGCTGGTCCACTCGAATCGACTAGACATAATACCTTACAAAGTCTATTACATCGTAATACAAAGAGTGAATCGACTGTACGTCCGTCTCAATCCAGCTCTTGTGACAATAATATATCATTAAGTAGCAGTGATCGTATGATTTAAAATATTTTCAACGTTAATCCTGTATGATTGAAATCTCACCTGTATATTTTTAGCGGTATATTTTTTGTATTTTTAGTCGATATCGTGGACATTCTAGTCAATTTAGCCGAAGAGCAACAAAATATTTCAAGTTCAATTGATTCTAATAGCATTCTCGGATCTCAGAATTCACAAGCTGACCAAAATTTTCCTATAATGAATGATAAAGAGATGAATGACGAAGAGGAGGAAGACGTAGAGGATTTAAATATTACTTTATTGGAACTAAGTTCGTTAAATTTTAGCCAATGGGAAAGTAAGAGAACAACATCGCAAGAGCAACAAGGCAGTGAGAATGATGGTTCCCAAATAGGTAATTATCATCGAAAAATATCCTCAAAAACAACTCACGTTCCTCGATTAATGTTTATCCACATTGACAATAGAACTTGTTTTGGAATCTTTAAAAGAGACAACAATATCAAACTTATTCGATAATATTCCCCAATTCGATGGGCCAATAGACGATGATGATATAAGAAGCCAATTGAGGGATAATAGCGTGAACGAAACGATAGAAAGACAAGAATTTTTAACCTGTGAATATAAATCAGGAAAAAGGCCAAAATGCGCTACTTCGGTCACACCAAGTAAAACAAAGGAGACTTCAGGCAGTAGCGAGAAACGTACTCGTAAAAGTACGAAAAAGAATAAATTTGAAGACAGTCTGCCAAAAACACCTCACAGATCACCTTCCAAACGCTTAAAAAAAATTACAAGTCCCAGTTGCCCATCCCGAAATTATTCTCCATTAAAAATAGAGATTAGAAATGCTCAAAAAACTGAAGCAATTTCATCCTGCGCAACGCCTTCTACATCTTACGTCGGACAAAAAGTGAGAAAAAATTTACAACCAAAAAGAATACTAAGTGCTCTCCAAGAATTTCATCCAGGTAAAGTGAAAGAATTCATTAAATTGAATATGATTTAATTAGCTTGAATAAACCATTACTTCTTCTTGAGCACTTTCGCAAATAATTGATTAAAAAATTCATTGATCTTCGTTCGTGTATAATTGGATATGATGTTTGTGTAAGTAAGATTATATTTTAGAAGGAGAGGACGTCCGTCCAGCGTCGGCCTCAATCAAAAAGCCATCGGGCAAAACATTAGCCACGCAAATTTCAGAGAAATCATTTGCTCGGGAGACCGAGGATGACAACGATAAGACGCTCGTTGAAGATTCGGATGATTCGCTTGAAACAGTCGTGTCAATGCCCAATAATCCTGTATTCATCAACGAGACCGATTCCAACGACACGATACATTCAAATGAAAAGCTGTCGAATCTATCAGCCACTAATTTTTCCGATGATCTTGCGGCATTGGAAATGGAGTGCATCGGACAGAACGAATTATCTTTCAATCCGTTGATTGGGCGGAGGTCAAACAATTTAAGCGACCGCAATGTTTTCTCAATGTTTTCCGACAGACGAGACGTCTGTGTGACAATGTCGCCGAAATTGAAGTCCCCGAGTCGAGAGTGCATCGTCGGCAGCTTAAAATCACCTGGGATCGCAATGTCTGACAATGCTCGACCGCACTGTAGTAAACAAAGCGACGCCAAAGCTTCGGCTGAGCACGAAGACGATGTTTACTGCGATAATAATGATAACCAAAGGAAAAGTAAGGAAGACAAGAATCAGGAGTCCTTTTATCGGAGTTTTGGAAATATTGCAGGTCTCGCCAATTGGCGTAAGATGAAAATCCAAGAACTTAATCTCTCCGAAGACAAACTTAGCTCTTTAAATTTGGAGCCGGAATTTCCCAACGGGAAAACAGTAGCCATTCGACCATTGAAAGCGCCTCCTGATCGAAAAAGCGTTATCGCATGGCTAGAGGCAAGAGATAAAGAGCAGAAGGACAAAACTGACGAAACAAATCAAAAGTCAAATGCGGAATCACAGGATCCCAGAGACTCCGATACCAATAGCTTATTTTTGGATCCAACCTACAGTCGCGGAACATTCAGGGGTGTCGGGGGTGACAGTGGCGCGTCCAAGCATTTAGGAGTTTCCTGCGGCCAGATCGAGTTCGATCGGCGTTCATCGATAATGAACGTTGAGCACGGAAATTTTGCGAACGCCAAGGCATTAACTACCGTAAATACAACTTAATCATTACTTTCTAACGAAATTAACAAATATTTTCTATACAATTATCCATTTATCGCGCGTAACGGAGATTTTTTTTTTTTTTTTTTTTGTTGTTTACCCTCCTCGTCGTAATCCAATCAATACAAATTTCAATCATTTTTCAATAAAATTTTTTGTTGTATGGCATGCGCCCGTTCTAACAATCAAAGTGACTATTAATTTTAGAACATTTATGTCGCAGTATCAATTTTTGACAATACTTTGTCTAGAGGTACACGTTATCACTAGATCAAAATTGTTGCCCGATCCTCAATACGACGCCATTGGAGCAGTTTTCTACGCAATTTATAACGACGTCCCACCAGATTGGGAGAAAACAAAGCCATTAGAATGTGGTAATGGAGCGTAAATATCATTGCAATTGCACATATTTAAATTATTTATCTTGAAATTGCGCCACGTTTCTTTTAGGTATCGTGATTGTAGAGTCAGCCGAGGCTAATTCTAAATGCAAAAGCTCCAATTACGCAAACGCACAGAAGGAGCAGTCTATAGTTTATGTGGAAAACGAAATCGATATGTTTAATAGCGTATTGTCAATTATTGAGCGTCACGATCCAGAAATTTTAATTGGCTGGGATCTCGAGCTTCTTTCATGGGGTTACATGTTTCAAAGAGCATCGCTACTCGGAAGAAATTTAAGCTGCGAAGTATCTCGTATACGTGGGACCTCGTTTAATTGGGGAAAAGAGCGTGATCAAGCGAGTTCGGAATTACACCTGGAAACATTGGGAGAATTAAGATTACCCGGTCGTATCGTTCTAGACATATGGAGACTCATGAGGCATGAAATCGGTATAAACGATATTATAAATATTTATTTTTATTTTATTTTATGTTAAAAAATATTTTTATAAATACATTTTTATATATGTGTGTGTATGTGCGTGTGTGTGTGTGTGTGTGTGTGTGTGTGTGTGTGTTTATTTATTTATAACAGCTTTAACGAGTTATACGTACGAAAACGTTATGTTTCACGTTATGAACGAGAGAATTCCGCATCCGAGCTTTGAAATTTTAACAAACTGGTGGGCCACTTTAAATTGCCGATGGAGAGTTATCGATCATTATACCAATAAAGTCATAGGCGTCCACAGAATTCTTCATCACTTGGATATCATTAGTTTGTATCGTCATTATATATTTTCGTTTAAAAGTAAAATTTCATATAGACAAACGAGCACCTGTTTATTTTCAATGAGGCGAGACCTTGAGCTCGATAGGGGAAAAAAATAAATAAATAAAAATAATCTTATATTAATAATCTTGAAAAATTCTTTACATAATTCTGGTGTTCTTTTTATTTATATTTTTCTCTCGCTCTCTCCATCCAGTCCTCTATTACTCTATATACTAAATATAAAAATTGCTAAACAATGTTAACAGACAGGACAAGTGAACACGCCCGATTATACGGCATCCAGTTTTACGAAGTCTTCTCTCGCGGCTCGCAATTCCGCGTCGAGTCGATGATGCTGCGACTCGCAAAACCTCTGAATTACATACCAGTGTCGCCGTCCGCCCAGCAGCGCGGCTGCATGAGAGCCCCGGAGTCGCTGCCCCTTATTTTGGAGCCGGAGTCAACGATGTATTGCGACCCGGTCGTCGTCCTCGACTTCCAAAGCTTGTATCCGAGTATTATTATCGCTTACAACTATTGCTTCTCCACTTGTTTGGGCCGCGTCGAACACATTGGCGCGTAAGTCATCATTGAGCGAATTTTAGAGCTCGTTTGTCCCGATAATTTCAGTCATTTTGATAATCTTCGTGTGATTAATGTAGCCCTCAGCCTTTCACATTTGGCGCAACCAGTCTGAAGGTCGATAAGACTCTCGCGAAGAAGTTGCTGAATAATAAAATCAACTTTGCTCCTTGTGGCGTCGCGTTTGTTAAGGAAGAGGTACGTCGAGGAATCCTGCCACGTATGCTCACTGAGATTCTGGAAACTCGATTAATGGTAAAGAAAGCTATAAAGGACCATTCTAAGGAGGACCGGGCATTGCAAAGGGCATTGGACTCGAGGCAACTTGGACTGAAGCTAATCGCCAATGTCACTTATGGTTATACCGCGGCCAATTTTAGTGGAAGAATGCCGTGCATTGAAGTAATTTATTTTTCTTTTTTTCTTTTAAACAGCGTCCGAGCGACCTAGTCGTAAAGCGTCTGTTAAAACAATGCATTTTTGATGTACCAGCTGAATAATAATAAAATACTGCGATAGATATTCAATGGGCTTAAAGATTATTGTAAATGTTTGTTTGGGTATTGAATTGATGTAATAGTGAAGATAAATCGAGCGACTTTTATTTCATTATATTTTGTGAACGTTTGCAAAGATCGTTATTAATCTTGTGTCGACGATTGCTTTTTAGGTTGGCGACAGCGTCGTAAGTAAAGGGAAAGAAACTTTAGAAAGAGCCATAAAAATGGTGGAATCGACGCCTAAATGGGGAGCGCGTGTTATTTATGGAGATACCGACTCATTATTTGTCTTATTGAAGGGAAAATCCAGAGAAGAGGCGTTTAATATTGGCGCGGAAATAGCCGAAACTGTTACCGCGGCAAATCCAAAGCCAGTTAAATTAAAATTTGAAAAAGTCATGCAACCTTGCATCCTTCAAGTATAATTTAATTCTTGATTAATTCTATGCATTTAATTTATTTCATGGGTGTTCTGTATTAGTTAATTGTCTTTGTCCGAATGCTTACAGACGAAAAAGCGATATTGCGGATACATTTATGAAAATAAAAATGATAAGCCAGTTTATTTAGCCAAAGGTATCGAGACCGTTCGAAGAGATGGATGTCCAGCTGTGGCCAAGGTTTATGAAATTATTTTGTAGTAAATTAGTTATTTTTAGCGCTCGGAAATAATGTTTTGTTTTTAAAAATGTTTATAAATTTTTAAGCACAAAATGCTTCTCTATGTTTATAAGCATCTCAGCTTTCATTTATATTATTCGTAATTTTCAATATCTATTTGTGATCTAAATGAATAGATTTGCCATTGCATAATGTAATGAAATTTTGTTAAATCAGCCACTGCTTCTTATTGATTTTAGATTCTCGAGAAAACGCTTAGGATACTTTTTGAAACAAAAGATCTATCCTTGGTAAAGCAATACGTAACGAGACAATTGGATAAGATCCTTACCCACAGAGTCTCTATTCAGGACTTGATTTTTGCAAAAGAGTTTCGCGGTATGAAAGGCTATAAGCCAACTGCATGTGTACCTGCTTTGGAGCTGACGAAAAGATTAATACAAAAGGATCCACGCGCTATACCTAACACAGGTAGCAGAGTGCCGTATATTATAGTAGCTGGAGGGCCCAATGTACCTCTTATTCGCTGTGTTCGGTCTCCGATGGAACTAATTCTCGATCCAAATTTGAGGCCCAATGCCATATATTACATTACAAAAGTTATTATTCCACCGTTAAATAGATGTCTTAATTTAATTGGAGTCGATGCTTATTCATGGTAAAAACAATAGACAAATTGCAATGTTAAATAGGATACATTAAAGTTTGGATTGACTTGTAATTCTAAAATTTAAACGTCAAATTGTGTAAAATACATACTTTTCTATAAAATGATGTCGACGTGCATATCGTCACAATAAAAAATATGATTATGAAATCAAAATAATGTCGTCTCTTCCTTCTTGTCATATAGGTTCATGGATATGCCTCATCGCCAAAGATCTCTAAATAGAGTGCACGGAGATTTATTAAATGTTAATCGCAAACCTAAAACGACCATATCACAGTATTTATACAACACAGCGTGCCCATCTTGCGGAGAACTATGCGATAGAGGTATTTGTGAAGACTGTATTAAAAATCAAACTCAAACACTCGTAGTTCTTTATGAAAAATGTAGACAGTATGAAAGAATTTATTCCAATATTAAAATGGTATGTGACGAAGCAAATTTGTACATAAATTATTTATGAAAATTTATAAAATAATGACAAATATTATTTATTCTGCTTTATAGATGTGCGAGTCATGTATCGGCATAATGGATTGCGATAGCTGTACATCTCTTGATTGTCCAATTTTTTACCGAAGAATTCAGGCACAAATTGATAATACACAAGTTTCGTATTTATATAATTTAATTCAATGCATGGAATATTTATCCTGATTTTCTAACCCAAAAGCGAATAAATATATTACAAAATTATAATCATGCGATATAAAATTTATGTATTAAATGTTTAAAATTTGGCACACAAATGTGTATTGTTGTAAATATTGTCATTTTATAAAAATTTGTTTTCTCTCTCTCTCTCTCTCACTCTCTCTCTCTCTCTCTCTCTCACTATACATTTGTAAACTTTATGATTCATTAAAAATATATTTTTGTTTATAAAATAGTTCCATAATTATTTAATATAATCTTCAATTTCTGTAAATATTCCATTCAATTTTGTGCCAGCGTTAATGTCTGTATACAAATACAGTAAAATCGACGTTCCAGTAGGCATTCCAAGCATTAAATACAATGTACGATTTACCTGAAAAACATACGTATCATTAATAATAAATATGGTTGTTGAGTCGAGAGCATAGCATTTAAAAATCTAGGCACCGTTTTCTTTTCTCAAACGAACAATCTCAATCGACAATCGCGAAAATTCTCAAACTAAATTACTACTGATTCGCAAATTCTTATCAAATTTCTTCAAGTTCCTTCCAACGTTACGATAAAAATGCACAAATTGCACACCATTACCATAACCAACACTGAAAATTAATATCATAATCGACTAATATTTTTTTTGTCATCGATACGAATCTAAAAAACTCGATAAATCCATGCACCGATTTTGCATTTGCATATCGTCATCGAAAGTTGCGCAAAATTGTCGCTGACGTTAATGACATTAATATCGTCATCCAATCCAATGCAAATATCTTAGCAAAAAAAGTTTTTTTTTTTTTTTGAAAGAGCAAATAACGACCAACGTCGTATCATTGTCGCAATAACCTTAAAACGCGCCCTCCCCGCGCGAACAATCGCGTCACAATAATTGGCCAAAGGCTCGGAGGTGCCACTACGAAAGGAGCCAACGATGCCTAAATTTTACGCCAAGCTCACCCATCTCCTCTCCACGTACATGCTACTCAACAAACTCCTTCAATAATAAATAATTGGCGGCGCACGGTTAAAGGATGGAACAAGAGCTCTTCTCGCGAAAGGGATTTGACTTCTGCGAGGAGAAGCCGACGAGGAGGCAATCCTCCTGCTCGTGTTCGACGATATACTTCATAAGATCCTCGACGGCCTTGCTGACGCTCACTCGCTTCACGGCCGCCTCCCTGCGCAACTGCTCCGTCAGCTGACGCTGCTGCTGCAAATTCGAGATCACCATGTCCATAACCACGATAATACCCGCTTGCCTTTGGGCGTGGTCTCGCACTCGTTTCACCAAACTCGCGGCTCGTCGGGACCTTCGGGCCGAGCAGCTCTCAACGCCGCTCTCCTTTATTATCCGCTCGAGGTCGCGACCTAAGGCTTCGTTACGTCCGCAGTCCCGGCTGTTATTCTCGCGACGCCTACTCTTTAGCATGCAAAGTCCGCGGAAGGAGCTTCGACCGCTGGCTCTGGTTAGCGGGCGTCGAGGTCCGTGCCGCGGGTGATCTGGGGCTTCGGACGCGGCCAACTGAGATAAAACGGCTGCTCCCTCGCACCTGGATCCTCCGGGCGGACGGATTATCGACGACTGGCCCCGTACGAGGTTACGAGCCCCCCCCTCCCACCACTACAATAGCCTATTTCGAGCGTACGACTGGCAAAGAAGTCTCTTCCGAAAAGCGACGTGAGGCCGTTCGTTCCATTATAAGAATAATAATAATGACAATGACGACGACGAAGACGACGACGAAGACGACGACGAAGACGACGACGAAAACGACGACGACGACGCGACGACGCGACGACGACGACGACGATGATGACGACGATGACGACGGGTTGACGGGGGCGGGGAGAGGAAGGGCAATCGCGATCGAGATTAATCTTACCGACCGAGTGCACGAATTCGTTATCGATCAATCGCTACCGAGCGGACGATGAAACGAGCCTGACATCTGTCACGCCTCGATCGAACTGCCCATCTCGTTTCTCGGCGGGCATATTATAATCGTCGGCACGCAATGTCCACATTTCCGAGCGCTCGGTGCTTCCGAGAAAATGGACGAAGTTTTCCTGGTTCTCAGCTATATAAGGTAAAATCGAGGCCTTTTTCCCGATGATCGGGACGGCACGATGTTTTCTCGTAACGCCCCTCACGCCTGAGATTCGGTGGTACTTGGAGTCGCGGGTCTTGCACTCTTTGCCTGCGGTTTGCTTTGCTGTACTTAGAAGTAAGTCATCTACGGGAACGGAGATGGGAGTGCGATCTGAGTGTAGATGTGTAATAATGGAGAAGAGAGAGAAATTGTAAAAATACACTTAACGGCAGTAATGTGTTAAAGGGGATGTGACTTGTTATGCAAATGCGGATACCGTATTTCAAGCTGATCGGAAGCAACGATCTCTGGCTGATTTCACTTTAATTAACGCTCATAATTTATAGTTTCACTTAGAGTTTGCTAGAATGACAAAGATTCGTTAAAAGCGAGACACGGTCTTTCATTATCAGTACTGATTTTAACTCGTATGAGCATTATAATGAATATTGTTTTGCAGGGAGAAGAGTGTTTGCAGAGGATAAATAAGAGTACTTTCGAAATTCGCAAAATTAGCATCGATATGTTTTTATTGTATTTTTCTTACCGAACTGCTGTAAAGAAATAGATAAACATGCTTTCCATGTATTGGGAAACCACGGAAAACTCTGGTACCTACGCAATTAATTGGCTTTTAATATTAATTCGTGCGCGTGTGCGTGTGCGTAAAAGCAATTTATGATAATGTCGATTGAAATGTAAGCATGTACAAATATGTTTTATAGTGGATGGAGCATTAGAAACCGATAGTATTGCAACGTGCAGCGTTGAACTCTCTGAAGATTCGACATCTAAAATGGATATTGCTTGCGTTCTCGACCTCCAACAGTCGGAGAATCTGTTTCATAGGCAGAAGGCGTTCGAAGAAGCCAAGAATGCTTGTGATAGAGTACGTGCTAAATTTCATCACATTGAATTTGAAAAATTAGATTGCGGAGACACGAATGTACTGGACACGTTTTATAACGCGGATATTGCAGTTATTGATTTAAGCATACAATTGCAACGATCCGCTCTATTTTATCATTTGGGAGTTCGTGAAAGTTTTGGCATGAAAGAAAACATTTTGCTGTATAATGGTCTGGACTCGAAAGCGACGATTAGATTGAAGGTGAGAAGATATTGCGTACGATGAAATTATTAGGTTTTCTAAGATATTTTGTGGTGGTGGAGAGTTTGTAGATAGGATACATTGACAACGATTAAAAGAACTTTGATAAGATACTTTGACAACAATTAATAATATGTTAAAGTAGAGAGTATTTGTCACGTTTAATCGATCGGCAAAGTTCAACGCGCGATGACTTGAAATCATTACTTATTTAAAGTAATCTCTTGAATTATTTATACATAAATTGCCTACGTCAATTGCCATAACATCGTGGTATGAAAAAATATTACGTACATATTTTATAATTTCAGTGCAAAATTAATGCAATGTCGAAAGCTTTTAAAATACTTTTGTATTTAAAGTGAATTTCGAACATTATAATGTCTCAGATAATAGGTAAAAGAACATTGTTATAGTAATAAATTATGAAATCCCCGTAAGCAAAGAAAAGACAAGCGTATTCTACATAAACAAATTTTGTTCTTCTTCTTCATAGTTATCTTGTGGCAGCTATACGTTAGTTCCTTACGACTTTGAAGATGCGAAGGTTTGTCTATCCCGCTCAACTGTCGATAAACCTATTAACGACGAATTGATCAGTCTCTCTGACAAGCTAAAAAAACTTTATGAAGAAGTGGAAGTACAATCAAAGTAAGTAACACACGATAAATAATATGAATTTTATAATAAGCACTTCAAGCGTATTACACGTCTTTTAGGGCGCATATGAAAGAGAAATTTCTAGCGGATTTGCGTAAGACTCGGGAAACGCTTACCGGTGTGGAACTTGCAAAAGCAGTTACTAATATGAGAAAGAGATTAGACGATCGTAACGTCTTATCCGGAGAAGTCATCCTAAACGTGCTCATTTCATTTAGAGATATACAGGTAGCATTGTCATTAAATTTGTAATTAATTATTCTATTATGTATTATATATAGTATGCACATTCCCTCTATAGGATTATGACGCAATGGTTCAGCTTATCGATGATTTGCGAACAGTGCCCAATCATAAAAATTCTATAAATACACCGGCTGTTCTGTTTCTTTATGCGTTTGCTTTGAATCGCAGACAAAAGGACGGGGATCGTGAAAGAGCATTAATGGTCATTGAGGAGGCCTTAGAGAAAAAGGAGAATTACGTTCCTGATATGTTATGTTTGTGTGGTAGAATTTATAAAGATATGTTTGTCGAAAGCCGTCATACGGATAAAGAGAGTTTGAACAATGCTATATTCTGGTATAGAAAGGGTTTCGAGGTGACGATTGTTTTTACGCGGCTTATTAGCTTTCTCCTTATATAAAAGTATGAGGAATATACGTGTAAAAATTATTGCACCATTGGCAATTGTTTCAGGTTCAACCTAACGAATATGCCGGAATAAATTTAGCTACTCTCTTGGTCATTGCAGGCAATGAATTTTCAAAGAGTGACGAGCTTCAGCATATCGGCATGGTACTGAATAATCTAATAGGGAAAAAGGGCAGCTTGTCGAGTTTAAAGGATTATTGGGGTGTAGCGACATTTTTTGAGATTAGCGTTCTCGCCGAAGATTACTCAAAAGCTATCAAAGCCGCAGAATATATGTTTAAATTGAAACCCCCAAATTGGTATTTGAAGTCAACGATAGGAAACATAACTCTTATCGATAGGTTTCGAAAAGAGAACGAGGACACGGAAATTTCTCCCAAAGAGCAGATTTTTAATTTTTGGATGGATTATTTCGTCGAAGCAACAAAATCCGAAGTTGGTAATAGCATTAGATTTCCGGTAAGTTATATCGTAATTCGTTGCAAGTAGTGCGACGTAAAATTTTGCCAATCATGCTATTTCCTAATATCAGGTTGTCGTCCTGGAGCCAACAAAAATTTTGATGCCAAGCTACGTAATAGTAAATCTTGGAGCCGAAGAAAAATCGATTCAAATTACAAATTTGTGCTTGGAAAGTATGAACCACAACTGCAAACAAGTTCACGATTGGCTCTTCAGTGCAAATATGATACGTAGTGTTAGTTTATACAAAAGAGACGAACGATGCATGTTTTTATATGTTCGTGAAAATTCCGATGATTTTCAAATGTATTTACCATCGGTTCAATGTAGACAAAGATTTTATGATCTTGTTTTAGAAATGACGCGAGATCAAGAGGGAATGGTTACCGATCTAGATGCTTATATGGCCGACGATACTGCAAAAGTCAAGGTGCTCGATTCATTGTGCAATATAAATTAACTTGTTAAAGGTGATGAAATATAATTTAATCGTGGCAATTTGTTTGCTTTTAGTTCGAGTACGAGTTGGATGAAGAAAATAAACGAATTGTTCTTGGTAAAGGCACTTACGGTATCGTTTACGCGGCACGAGATCTGAATACGCAAGTACGAATCGCTGTTAAAGAAATTCGGGAAAAAAATCTTGGTGATGTGCAACCGTTGCATGAAGAAATTAAGTTGCACAGTCAACTGAGACATCGAAATATCGTTCAATATTTGGGCTCGGTGAGCGAGGATGGATTTTTCAAAATTTTTATGGAACAGGTTCCCGGAGGTAAGCGGTGGTGGCGTCGGTGTCCGCGGCCAGGGGGGGGGGCGAATGATTTATCTCACGATTCGCTGTATTGATTAGTTTTACCATTAAATGACGTGATTTGTTTGTTTGTTTTTTTTTTTTATAATAAACCGTAGGAAGTATATCAGCTTTACTCCAATCAAAATGGGGCCCTTTAAAAGAAAACGAATCGACTATTTCCTATTATACCAAACAAATCTTGGAAGGATTAAAGTATTTGCACGATCAAAAAATTGTCCACAGAGATATAAAAGGTATAAAAATATAAATGCTATATGCTAATGGAATTGTAATTATATGGATGACAAATTGTTGTAGGTGACAATGTACTGGTAAACGCTTACAGCGGAGTCGTTAAAATTTCTGATTTTGGTATGTCAAAGAGATTGGCTGGTTTATGTCCAAGTACAGAAACATTTACTGGAACTTTACAATATATGGCTCCTGAAGTTATCGACAAAGGCCAACGTGGATATGGAGCACCGGTAAAGTAGTTGCAACATTTGGAACAAAACAGAAAATGCAGTAAAACAAATTACTAATGCCTTTTATTTTATTTTTGTTTTTTTTCCTTGAATAGGCTGATATTTGGTCTCTAGGCTGTACGGTAGTTGAAATGGCAACTTGTAAGCCTCCATTCGTTGAATTAGGATCACCACAAGCAGCTGTCTTCAAGGTAACGTAAAATATGCTGTTCAATAATTGTTTAAACAATTTCAAGTGAATTTTATTGATTTGTTGTCGAATTAGGTGGGCTACTACAAAATACATCCGGAAATACCATCAGAATTATCGGATCGAGCGAAAAATTTTATATTACGTTGTTTTGAAACGAACCCCGATATGAGGGCGACGGCTGCCGAATTATTAGAAGACACTTTTCTTTCAGAGTAAGTACAACATCAACTGCGCTGTCAATTCACCTCAACCTTTATTGCGCTGTCAATTCACATCTAATAATACATATACGAACATGCATAACCGTGCTTCAGAAAAAAGAAAGCCCTAAGATTGGTTGCGCCTCCAGATTTTAGTCGTAGTATATCAGTACCTGCGGAAAAACCAGAAAAACTTTTAAAAAATGACCAAACGAATAATGGTCACATTGTTAGTCCAACTCCAATACTGGCTTCGCAATCGGACGACAGGTAATTTAATTGTTTATTAAATTGTTCAATTGCACAAAAGTTACTTTGTTTGAGCTTTCAATATTGTTTTAAATGTTAAGCTTTTAACAATTACAAAAACAGCGCACCATTATTTTGATTTTATAGTTTATTTGTTCAATTGCTTTAAATTTAAATTAAAGTGTCGTACATAATGGAGGGTTGACAAAATTATGTCGATTAAAGGAACTCAGTCCAGCACATCTTCTTTCTCCTATTAGCATGCCGACTGCAAATCTTTCATATAGCAGGTATGGTTTAGATAAATATGAAAGAAAAACAATAAAATTCGAAGTTTATAATTTATAGAGTAAAGCAAGTTCTATGGTGTAGGATGCTTAGTAAAATTGTTGCTTTAGCTTAAATGTATCGTGGAAAAAAGTTTAAAGCTAAATTCTGACACGTATGTAAGAATTGTTAAAAAGAAAGGGAAAATTCAATATTATTTGTAAAGCTATTTATACAATATTTTTAATTATTTTGAGATTACTATTTTAATTAATCATTAAAAGATTATATGATTAGAGTATGATTTTAACGAAAATTAGATTTTTATTTTATTTAAAAATCTCATTAACTATTAATTAAAGCATGTGTTTAGAAACTTATTCACATAAACTTACAAGTACAATAAATTTTTCAAACATTCATTATGAATTATTTGCTTAATAAATATTGCTGTTATACAAGTTAATGTCTCTATTTATGTTAACTACTTTATAAATAAAATAATCATTAATTTGAAATTGCCTTTTTTATATGCTTTTTATATAAAATTTTATTCAGATTTTATTGTTTTATAATTTTTCGCAAGAAAATTTATATTTTGCCGATTTTACAATAATTAATTTTATCGATATCTTTCTTATATATATGTTTTTATCGCATATTTATTAATATGAAACAAGTAATGTGCATAATATAAATTTCACATAATGTAAAAATATGAAGTAAATAAATATGATTTATTATTGAAAGTAATACTTTTTAACACACGCACGCATACATGCTTATATATATATATATATATATATATATATATATATATATATACATACATAAGTAAAGTATCACTTTCAATCACGTGGGAGGAATAAAAAATAATATCTTTTACAAATAATTATGCTAATAATTAAAAGTTAAAAAAAATTAATCTATTATCTGTCATATATAGTATAGCTATCGATATTATCAATAAAATCCCCAAAATCCCTAAATTAAATGTAGCTGAAAGAAGTATTCGTCTATTTACGCTAAGAAATTATAGAGCTTTGCAATGATTGTTCATTCTAATATTATTAGCCCAGGATTAATTAACATTGTTTTCCGACCTAATGTTGTTAAATATCCGTTTGCGAGATCCAATACAAATAAACACGTAGATAAGAGTTGCTTTCCCTAGTTGTAGCACAATAGGAACAACACCTTCGGTAGAAACAAACGTGTCCGAGACAGTCAAAAAAAATTCTATGACAAGAAGAAGCTCATCGGGTGCTCTCGTATCACCCGCAGTACAACTTACAGGTACGCTTACTTTTTAATATAATTATTTGATAAACAATTATTGTACCGTTCAAGTTGTAGGATAAATTTTTTTCTTCCTTTTCTTTCATATAATTACAAAATCACACGCCTGTTGAAAGAAATGATATTATTTGTTACTAATTGTACGTTAATAAAGAGCTTGTAATGTAACGTGTATTGGTAATTTAAATAAATCGTTATATTTTTGCCAATGTGAATTTATTAAATAAACTTGGCTTGGTTTTTGGTACGTTCGCTACGAGTTTCTGAGATAAATAAGATTTACATTAACGCGATGATGCCAACTTCCTCTATTTATCATTATTATTGTTAACGTAATAAAAATAATAGTTTAGATAAAGATTCATGTATACTATTATTAATACTATTATGAAGATAAAATATTTCAAATGATGAGAATATTACAGGGATAAAAAAAAAAATATATATATATATATATAAACAAAAAACTGCGGAATAATTAAATAGTAGGTAATGAGTCAATATGAGCGAATGATATAATTGTAAATTGAAAAAGTATTAATAGCTGTTTGACAAATGAAAAATCAATTGACAAATGGATACGTTCTTAGGCGAGTTGAGAATAAAAATAGGAATACGATATTCACTAGTTTTTTATTTAAATAATTTTTCAAACGTATGTGAAAATGAATATTGACCGTATGTAAGAAAACAGAAAGGAAGAAAAAAGAGTAATGACTGACATTTGTTGAAATTTAAAAGCAGGCCCATTAGTAGCAAAGGCTGAAGAGAGAGGAGAGGATTTCTGTTTGCCGAAGAAGGATAGCCAGATACGAATGACACTTACGCGAGTATTGAGCCAAGACGAGACGAGGATATGTACACTATGGATGAAGAGCATTCAAGTGGATGTGGGACAAAAGTCTTTGTTAAAAATGGTATTTAATGATTAACTAAAATATTTAAAATTGCTGCGTCAATTTGAAAATAAATTGAAAATTATGAGGAGAGGACTTCGATTCGAATAAAATGTGTTTTGCCTTACAGAACGACTTAGAAACATTGTTAAGGGTACTTAGGGACTACATTTCCGAACAGAACAAAGATGCCGTGATGGTAGCCATTAATAAACTAAAAGAAGAATTGGATTTCGATTCAACGACTATTAATCAATTACATTTGGCCATTTACTCGTTCCAAACTGCGGTAAACGCAGTTCTAAGAACGCACAGCATAAAACCTCCTTGGATGTTCGCTTTTGATAATCTTGTGAGAAATGCCGTCCAAGCTGCTATGGCAGTCTTATCTCCAGGTTCTTAAATATAATCAGAATTACCTAATTATTGGTGTAATGAAAATTGTATTCGTCATTTAAGTAAAGAAAAATCATAACAATGTCAGATTTGAATTGGATGGTTAAAGTAGAATTAATATTTTGAAGTTTGCTTATAATTACATTTTTAATTACGTAAAATGATTTTCAATAAATTTAAACACGTATTAGCTTTATTTTTTCCAATATTATATGAATGATAAATTAATGTTTATTGTTAATAATCGTTTATTGTTAACTAAAGTTCATGAACGCTCGCTCACAATGTCGCTCAATATTAATATAAAATTCTAATTACAAAAATATATTTATATTTATTAAATTCGTTTATTATTGAATGCATATGTGCTTTATTAATTAATTTAGAAATTGTTTAGAATTAGGAGACAATTTACTTGGCCAGGAGCGGTCTCGATCAACAGGCAGCGAATGTATAGAAAGCGGATCAACTTCTGGAGTTTCCACTGTCGATTTTGTAAAGTCTCGGAAAGCTGGCGATTCGTTTGATAATAATAAATATTGGCACGACTATGAGGATCAAATGGAGCCTAGTAAAATGGAAAGTACGAAGTTATTGTACGAATTACTCGAGAGCCAGAAAGCTTATCAGAGTATCTTATATCAAGCGTTGGAGGAACAAAAAGCCCAGTTGGAAACATTAACTGGATTGTGCAATAATATCGATAGAAAAATGTTTAAAAGAAACATTGGGTAAGAGCTTGTTTGCACATGTTATATTAACTATTACAAATACATTAGAATACATACTAATGGTTATTAATGTCGTACTGACAGTATACCACAAATAAGTATTTTAGATCGAGATAACGAGTCGACCCCAGATGCGCAATTAATAATTTGGATGCAGACATTGAAAATAGATAGCGAAACCATTGAAAGGGTAATTTAAGTTAAATTTAAGTTTAATCGAAGCACTTATGTATAATATTTATTATAATGATAAACATTAATCGATAATAATGTGTTAATGTGTTTTCGATAGTTCATTCAGGAGGAATATAAATTGGAAGATATTCTAATCTATCTTACGCGAGATGATCTACGTAGACTCAATTTGAAGTACATTTGTTTAATTTATTATTATATTATTACTGAAATTATTTATCATCTTAATGTCAATGTTATTTGCAGAGGTGGCATTGAACTTAGGATATGGAAGGCTATAATTGCACATCGAAAAGATGCACAACAAAACTAAAAAGCAAAAACTGCAGAAGAAATTTTCTAATCGTAGAAATACTAATTATCGTACTGACTTGCTAACTTATTCAATAATTGCGCATTTGACTTAGTCAGTTATCAAATGCATAAAAGAAATTTCATTATAAAAGTGAAAGTGCCTTAACCAGTGATTAATATTATTAATATTAAAAATAAGCCGTCTACAATTTTTATGGCAGCTTTTAAATGCAACGTAAAAGAGCCATGGCAATCTTATTGAGCCAATTTATTTTTTGTACAAAACACTATACCAGCAATTTCGAGATGCGTCTTCCATTGATAAAAAATATAATCTATTGATCTCCTACGATATATATTTCATCGGTTCGGCGATGTTCAGCGGCGAGGGTTTCGATGTTCTCGACTTTGCGTTGCTTCTTCCTGCGTTTTATGTTGCAATAACGTTGGGTCTGGCCGTAGGCGCGATCACGAAAACCCCAAAGAGGAAGACAGTGATGCTTGAAACGTCACTCGATAGATCCGAACGAATTGGTGGTGATTCGCTCATTTTATCTTTTTTCCCAAGCATCTTAAATATGGAAGAAAAAACTCGGAGAGATCAATTATCATATATATATAGAAATACCTAATATATAAGTGTGAATGTTGAAAATCCGTGCAGCTTGAAAGAAACTTAGAACTTACGTAATCGTAAAAAAATAATTAATTATTTAACCGTGTATATAAAAAGATGTTAATAAAAAATTTAAAAAATAAAAAACTTGAAATAGTTTGTGCATAATAAATTAAGTTAAATTATACCTATTATTAGAGACTGACCAAATAGCAATTGTTCACTAAAATTGTTTTGCACATATAAATAAGATTTTTCACAGCTCTATTAAAAAAATAAAGTATATCGATATATTTCTATTGAATGTATAATGTTAAAATATATTATATTTGTAACAAATTGTTATATGAAAGTGTATATATATATATATATATATATATATATATATATATATATTTTATCTTCTACCTATTAAAAATAGGAATTTTTTTCTAATTCCAATTAAATTTTAACAAATATTTGTTATCTAAAATGTAAAAGTCAAATGACCTTTTCATTGCTAAACAATAAAAAATATTAAACTTAATTTATGAATATTCATTGTTTTCCCATCACCGTTTTCATTACTTTCTGTTTTCTTTTCTTTTCATTTCTTTTTTCTTCTTTTTTCTTCTTTTATCTCTATATAAACGTAATTTACCATAAACTTTTAAGCTGTCGCTATTCTCATAAAACTGCTTTCAAACGAAAAACTTGAAATGAATCAGCCTTCTACGTAATTATTCGCGCATAACGAATATAATTAAAGAAGAAAAGGGCTTTGCCGAAAGTACGACTTAATTAAAGCGAGGTGTACGTACTCAATTCATTTTGTTATTCAAACCCCTCGGTTTATTTGGTTTGATTTCCAGTGCTCAATATTCATAAAATATTGTAAATGTAAGTCGCTGCATTATGCATTCATCTACACGTAATTGAGATTATTGTTAAATATTCTTTGCTCTGCCCTTGGTTTCGTACTTACCAAGCCCGCAGTTATTATTGCAAAAACGTCGCGATATTAAACTCGACTCCTTTTCCACCTCCCTTATTAGCAATTCCGGTGGGAGTCTGTTTGGCTTGCCCGAAAAGTTTTTCACTTTATTTGTATCGACAGAGCCTAAGGATCTTAGGATTCTAATTATTCGAGTGCTCGACTTCACGTACAATTCGATTATTTTTAGCAAAAAAGTGTACGTAAATTGACAACCATTGAAAGTAAAGTGACTCTTGTCTAGATTTTCCATTTTCTTTCTTCTAAATTCATAAAAGTAATTTAATATCTTATTACAAATTATGTGAACAAAATATAAACATAAAATGTTATTTAAATTCTTGATTTTTTTTTTTTTACTTTTATTTTATTATTTACAACTTAATATCTTGAAAGCAATCGATAAACAATAAGGCACATTTTTATTTGCAACGATCTATTAACTTTATTTTTACCAACTGTAGCAGTACAATCTGAAGTATATGAATGAATAAGATAAAGATATTTGTTCGTTGACTTCGATGAATTAAATTTTAGAACGACAGTTTCGTTTCAAGATAAATACAGAATTTTTACTAAATTGTAAGATTTATTTATAAAAAACGGCAATCCAAGTAAATACTTATAAATATTATGGTAATGATATCAATCAAAAATGAAAATCAATAATAGTAACGATAACTACTATATCACTCAAAACATTTTCAAATATTTATCACATTTAAGCACTTTCTTAATGTTAAAATGATGAAATACCGATAAATAATTTGAATGTTATTATTAGAGTAGTCAGGGAGAAAATTTCCATCTCAAAATTTTGAACGTAGTTATGAAATTGAAATTCACGCTTTTAAAACGCAAGAAGACTAAGTAATACAATACATAGCGTCGAAGAAGGGCTTTTCGTTCTCTTCATTTTAAAATACAAAATTCAAGCCCCTTCTGGCTTCATTTTACCCCTTGCCATTCAATTAAATTACTATATCATTCGTAACAGGGTTGGATCAAGAGCCATGAGAGCCAAGACCTAATGGAAATACTTTTCATTACCTTGCAAAAATCTCGTTAAAATTCTAACACACTAATAGATGTTAAACTATATAATCATATAAAGTTATATAAGCTTGTGCTGGTCAATATTTCTAACAAAATACGAAACAACGAATTATATATTTGACATTTGTTATTAAGCAAGATGAGGGCGCGTCACTCGATAACATGCTCGACATTGTGTTTATTGCAATGATCCACTTAAGAGAGAGAGAGAGAGAGAGAGAGAGAGAGAGAGAGAGAGAGCTATTCGATATTTACAAGTGCAGAACACAAGTGCAGAATTCAGCACAAGTGCAGAATTCCCCGGCGAGAAACCCCATCCACGGGTGAATTCCTCGACTATACGGCAAAACTGACGTCCGTCGGTATCGTTAAACCGGTTATGGAAAATTCGTAAATCGCGCCAAAGCGTAGAGACGCGCGGCAGGTCGATTCTTCGAAGGCTGTGTACCAACGATAAAACGCGCGCAGTGTGCCGAGTACGATTAGCGATACCCGGGCAAGTTTACCTTTGTCCCCGGGTACGGAGACTTTGGTTGAGGATTCGCCGGGGCTTTATGGGACGTAAACATCGTGGTAAAGAGGATGTAGAGAGGAGCCTTCGTGGATTCCTCGCTGATCGGAGACGGGAACTCGACGTGCATTGTGGCTTGCCCGGACTTTGAGGGGTGAATCCGAATTATCTAGGTATGCAATCTGATAGCGGCCGAATTTCGCGGCGAAGGCCTCGGTCGCGGTTAATGCGGTCGAGAGCTGCATTGTTATTTGTTGCGTCTCGCGTTCTCACTGCTGCTCGTCTTTCTTTCTTTTCATTCGTTCCGTTGTTTCTTTTAATATTTCCAAGGTCCGTAGCGATATTAAAGCAGAGAAGGTAAATTTTTTGTAGGCTGGTGGCGGGTGGGTTGAGTATGGGGGAGGGGGTAGGGTGGTTGAGTGGCGGAGGGGATTCCGAGGTCGTCCGCGCGCATCCTCGAGATAACGGCGCCCCCCCCCCCCCCCACCCAGGGTTTTGGCGC